AGGCAGCTGAGTGCCCGGGGCCTTCACCTGAACAGTCAGCAGGGGGCGTGGGGCATCTGTCTTCTGCCCTCTTCAGCGCTGCTCAGGACCCTGTGCCTACTGCATACCACGGAGCCTTCTCCTCTCTTCTGTCTCCTGCCTCTGGCTTCTCAGACTTTCGTTCTATAGACGGATCCTCTGTATTGGGACAGAGGCAGCCACAGTAGGAAATCAGGAAGGATTCTCTGTCAGTGTCCCTGCCCCCCAACCCCAGGGCCCACTCACCGCCCACACAGTTGACAGCCCACGGCACACCCGGCAGCTTCACAAACCCTGCCTCCCTGGCACTGACTAGGGACTCTGGTGATGCACAAAGCAGACGAGGACCCAGCCTGGGAGGTTTCCAGCATTTGGAGCCTTGGGCGGGCAGGGGGGTGGGGGTGGGGGGAGCCAAAGCTGGTAGTGGGGGGAGGTGAGAGGGGAGGAGGAGCCTCACGGGAAGGGTGTTTTTTTCCTGGAGGTAACTCAGGCAAAGCAGGCTTCCTTGTGCAGGCTGGGATTTCCCAAAGAACTTTCAAAAAGCCCAACAACAACCCAGTAAATTTTTTATTGATTTCAGAGAGGAAGGGGGAGGGAGAGAGAGATAGAATGATGAGAGAGAATCATTGATGGGCTCCTTCCTGCATGCCTCCTACTGGGGATCAAGCCCACAACCCGGGCATGTGCCTTGACTGGGAATCGAACTGGTGACCTCCTGCTTCATAGGTCGAAGCTCAACTGCTGAGCCACACTGGCCGGGCCAAAGAACCTTTTTAATAGATTTCCTCTGGCCCCGTGTGTGGGTTACAGACCTCTAGACTAGCATTAAGTACCCCTTGTGTGCTAAGTTTTAAGTTTTAGCAAGTGGGCATGAAACCATGTGTTATTGGTATTTTAATATAATTCCGTTCAGCTTGCAAAATGTTTTCATATGTACTTTCTCACCTGGCCCTTTCAATGACCCTGTGAACTAGCTGTTATCCTTCCCAATTTACAGGAAGGAAAAGTAGGCCTCAACGTTACAGGTGGTGCTAGGTTGAAAGACCCAGGTCGTTATGATGACTGCCACCATCTACTGGCTGTGTGCTAGGGGCTTTGCATGCGTGGCATATTATAATGGAAATTATAAAGACTAGAAACATCTCACCTGGAACCCTTACTGCGTATGGATTTGGAAGGAAGGAAATTCTGTGCAACTTGCAAGTCTGCGTAGGTTGGCAAAACTTACTCTGTCAAGTGGGAAGCGATGGCTCGGTAATCACAGTACTTATCACACTCTTGTAATTGCCTGTTTACACATCTGTATCCTCCACCAGACTGCAAAGCAGAGAAGCGTGCCTGCTCCCCATTGTGTCTCTGTCACAGCACTGCCCAGCACATAATAGACACTTAATAGATTATTTGCAAGATGAAAACACACAACGTGATTTTACACACCAGGAAACTCAGGCTTGATGAGTTGCCGTCCTCACGCAGTATCACACACCTTAGAGAGGATTCACATCAGGAACCTCTGACATCAATGTCTATCTCGTTCCCCTGGGACTTTCTGCCCTCGTCAGTAGCCCCTGTGTGACGACACAGCGCTCAGCAAATGGCGGGAACCCAGTTCGTAGCAGTTGGGCTTGATTCTAGCAGTGCTACCTGTAAACCGTGGGACCTCTCTCCCTGTTTAGAGTGGAGATGGGCAATAGTATTCACCTTGCAGGTGTGCTGCCAACGGTGACCACATTCATTCGACCACATAGGCTGGCGTGGGTCCTCAAAATGCTGGTGAACCTCGGGGTTATCCAGGGCCCTTGCTCTTCCTGCCCCATCTTCCCGGGTGACCTCAAGCAGGTCCACGTATCTGCAGATGATTCCGGAAGGTGGATTTCTTAAGAACCCTGACTTTTGTAGCCAGATGCTAGCCTGGCATCTTCACGCTGTGGTCCATCTAAAACTTGGCTTGGCTAAAGCCAAGCTCTTGGTCCTCTACTGACCCAACCTGGCCCCCTCAGACCTCCCCATTGACCCAGCTGCTCA